CCTGTGGGGACCCCGGGGTGACGGGGGGAAAAAGAAATCTCCCTGTTGTTTTCCCTGGGAGTGACGGGGAACAAGCACTCTCCCCGTGGTACCCTGGGGGCCGGGGGAAAAAGCCCCTCTCCCTTTTGGGACCCTGAGGGGGGACGGGGAAAAAAAGCAATCTCCCCGTGGAAACCCCCGGGGGGGACAAGGGAAAAAAAGGGCCCCTCTCCCTGTTTGGGAAACCCCGGGAGGGGGCGGGGGGAAAAAGCAAAATCTCCCTGTGGTAAACCCGGGAAATGCGGGGGAAAAAGCAAATCTACCTGTGGTACCCCGGGGGTGCGGGGAACAAGACTTTCCCTGTGGTTTCCCTGGGAGTGACAAGGAAACCCAAACAGTCTCCCCGTGGTACCCCGGGGGGTGACGTTGGGGAAAAAGGACTTCCCTGTTGGTTTCCTGGATAGGGGGGGAAAAAGCACTCTCCCTGTGGTTTTCCCTGGGGTGAAAGGGGGGCATGCCCCTCCCCTGTGGTACCCTGGGGAGTGACAAGGGAAAAAAGGGACTTTTCCCCGTGGTACCCTGGGGGGGAGGGGCCCAAGGGGGGACCTTGGTTGGGTTACCCTTTAGGGGGGCGGGGGGAAAAAGGGGCCTCCCCGGTTGGAAATGGGGGAAAGGGGGGGGGAACAAACACTCTCCCGTGGTACCCCGGGGGGTGACGGGGAACAAAGGGACTCTCCCTGTGGTACCCTTTAGGGACGGGGAAAAAAAGCCCCTTCCCTGTGGGGACCCTTTGGGGTGACGGGGTAAAAGAAGCACTCTCCCGTGGTACCCTGGGAAATGACGGGGAACAAGCACTCTCCCCGTGGTTTCCCTGGGAGTTTACGGGGGGAAAACACTTCCCTGTGGTACCCCCGGGGGGTGACGGGGGGAAAAAAGCACTCTCCCTGTGGACCCTGGGGGAAAACCCCTGGACCGGGGGGGAAAAGCATCTCCCCGTGGTTTCCCCGGGAGTGAAGGGGAACAAGCCCGTTCCCCCCTTTGGGACCCTGGGGGGGGGGCGGGGGGAAGGGGGAAAAAGCAGTCTCCCCCTTTTCCCCAAGGGGGAGGGGGACCCGGGGGGGGGAAAAAGCACTCTCCCTGTTTGGGCCCTGGGAGTGAAAAGGGAAAAAGCACTCTCCCTGTGGGACACTGGGAGGGGAGGGGAACAAACACTTCCCTGTGGTACCCTGAGGTGACGGGGGGGAAAAAGCCAAAAATCCCTTGGTTTGGGACCCTGAGAGTGACGGGGAAAAGCACTCTCCCTGTGGTACCCTGGGGTGACCCAAAAAAAAGGCCCCTTCCCCGTGGTACCCCGGGGTGACGGGGAAAAAAAGCACTCTCCCTGTGGGGACCCTGGGAGTGACGGGGGGGGGCAAGGCCAAATCTCCCTGTGGTACCCCGGGGTGACGGGGGGGAAAAGCCCCTCTCCCTGGGGACCCTGGGGAAATGACGGGGAAAAAAGCACTCTCCCTGGGTAACCCCGGGAGGTGACGGGGAACAAGCACTCCCCTGTGGGACCCCGGGGGGTGACAAGGAGCAAGCAGGGGCTCCCTGTGGTACCCTGGGGGGGGTGACGGGGGGAAAAAGCACCCCTCCCTGTGGTACCCCGGGAAATGACGGGGAACAAGCATCTCCCTGTGGTACCCTGGGAGTTTCCCGGGGGAAAAACACCCTCCTGTTGGGACCCCGGGAGTGACAAGGAACAAGCATCTCCCCGTGGAAACCCGGGAAGGACGGGGAAAAAAGCACTCTCCCGTGGTACCCTGGGGAGTGACGGGGAACAAGCAATTTTCCCTGTGGTACCCCGGGAAATGGGCGGGGGGCAAAACACTTTTCCCTGTGGTACCTTTGGGGGTGCCCGGGGGAAAAAGCCTTCCCCGTGGTTTCCCCGAGAGGGGGCGGGGAACAAAACACTCTCCCTGGGTTTCCCCGAGAGTGAGGGGAAAGAAGCAATCTCCCTGTGGTACCCCGGGGAGTGACGGGGGGGAAAAAGCACTTTCCCCGTGATAAAACCCCGGGGGTGACAAGAAACAAGCACTCTCCCTGTGGTTAAACCCCGGGGGTGTGACGGGGGAAAAAGCACTCCCCTGTGGTACCCTGGGGAGTGACGGGGAACAAGCACTCTCCCTGTTTTGGGCCTGAGAGTGACGGGGGGAACAAGACTTTCCCCGTGGTACCCCGGGAAATGCGGGGGGGAAAAAAAGCACTCTCCCCGTGGTACCCTGGGGGGTGACGGGGAACAAGCACTCTCCCCGTGGTTCCTGGGAGTGGAAGGGGGGGGAAAAAGCACTTTTCCCCGTGGTACCCTGAGAGTGACGGGGAAAAAGCCCCTCTCCCTGTGGTACCCTGAGAAAGGGGGGGAAGAAGCACTTTCCCTGGGTTTCCCCGGGGTGACGGGGAACAAGCACTCTCCCTTTTGGTTCCTGGGAGGGACGGGGAAAAAAGCACTCTCCCCTTGGGGGTTTTTCCCCCGGGGAGTGACGGGGAAAAAAAAAAAAAAAGCACTCCCCCCTGTGGTTTCCCCGGGAGTGACGGGGAAAAAAGCACTTCCCTGTGGTACCCTGGGAGTGACTGAGTCTCGGTTGGGAAAAATCATAATCTGTACGGAGGGCTGACCTCGAAGTGTCACTCGGTGTGAGAAGAAACAAGAGTTTGTAGGGTGAAAAAGGTTTTAGAGAAAACCCACATGTGTTAATTTATCAGAATCCCAAAAGTACCTAGTACTTTTAAATTGCAGTAAGACCAAGTGCCATATGTAATGGAGTTTGGGTTTATCCCGTGATGGTGGTAACAAATTTAAAGGGTTTCCTCCCTTTTCTAGGGGTTGGGGTCCATGTAGCTAAACCCGCAGACTAAGCAAAAAAATTTGCTACCCCGGGCATAATAGGGAGAGCAAACGGTCAAACCCCAAGGGGCCGGCTTCAAGCGGGCGAAGAGGAAATTGGACAGGTCGCTTAACAACCCAAAGGTCCCTCTTCAAATTGCATTTAAAAAAGGGGACCAGGGAATTAGTTTAAAATGTTGTGGGTAGCATTTAGAAGGAGACCAAAGGTCCCAGTGCCCAAACCACACTAATTGGCTGTCATAAAAACTAGGTTTTAAAAACTCTCTTCGGGGTTAATAAACCCAAGGGAAAAAATTTTCTTCTCCGTGGTTTTTAAAATGCTTAAGAAAGCTTTTTTTATCTTTTTTCCCCTGTCTTTTTTGGGGCCTTCGTCTACCCGGGCAACAGTGTTGGGGCCCGTTTAAAAATAGCAGACCAAAAGGGTTTAATTTTTATAAAAGCTTCGTTTCCCGTAGGCTTTTAAGTACTGGCTTGATAAAGCTTGAGCTACACCCTTCCCTTTAAACCCTATTGTGGGCGGTATACCGGGCGTAGCAGTTCTTGGTTTGGTGGAGGCCCCACTTTGCTTTTTTTCAAAAATCACTTCCCCCCGGGAATGGGCGACACTGTGTTAATACTGCCTTTTCACTGAGAGGGAGGGGTACCAGGGTTTAAAGGGTAGCCTGCCAGGAGGGGGACTTGATCCCGTGTTTGAAGGGGACTTGAACTGCATTATAAGGGTCTTTGGGAAACCCGCATTATCCGGGGACTTGGAAACCGGGTTTTAAGAGAACTTTTAAATCGGGGTTATAAAGGAGACTTGAAATCGCGTTATGGTAATAGATGAACTCTCTTCCACTGAGGAAAATCTTGTCTGCTCTTTCCTTTCCAGACTCTAATCCATTTTTTCATCCAATACTTTCTCTTCTCCCACCCACATCTCCATCCCTCTTTCCTCCACCCAGCTCCCTCTCTTCCCTCTCTGTGAAGACTCATCAAAGGCTTGCACAAGTTCAGATTTCCCACTCCTGCAGCCTCTGCTTTGATCCCACACGAGGCGAGGTTGAGTGCTCAAGTAGCAGCAACAGCAGCAACAGGAGCAGCAGCAACAGGAGCAGCAGCCACAGGAGCAGCAGCAACAGGAGCAGCAGCAACAGGAGCAGCAGCAACAGGAGCAGCAGCCACAGAAGCAGCAGCAACAGGAGCAGCAGCAACAGGAGCAGCAGCCACAGGAGCAGCAGCAACAGGAGCAGCAGCAACAGGAGCAGCAGCAACAGGAGCAGCAGCCACAGGAGCAGCAGCAATAGGAGCAGCAGCAACAGGAGCAGCAGCAACAGGAGCAGCAGCCACAGGAGCAGCAGCAACAGGAACAGCAGCAGCGGCAATAGCAGCAGCAAAGGCAACAAGAACAGGAAGGAGAAGAACAGCGACTACACCAGGAACAACAGGAGACACAGCAACGAAAGTAACAGGAACGACAGTAGCAGCAACAGCAGTAGCAGCACCAGCAGCAGGAGCAATGATAACAGCAGCAGCAATTGCAAAAGTAGCGCCACTATTGTATCATCACCACCACTACTACCATCACTACCAGCACAACCACCCCCACAACCACCACCACTAGTACCATTACTACCAGCACTGCCAGCACTACCACCCCCACAACCACCACCACCAGTACCATTACTACCAGCACTACCAGCACTACCACCCCCACAACCACCACCACCAGTACCATTACTACCATCACTACCAGCACTACCACCCCCACAACCACCACCACCAGTACCATTACTACCATCACTACCAGCACTACCACCCCCACAACCACCACCACTAGTACCATTACTACCATCACTGCCAGCACTACCACCCCCACAACCACCACCACCAGTACCATTACTACCATCACTGCCAGCACTACCACCCCCACAACCACCACCACCAGTACCATTACTACCATCACTACCAGCACTACCACCCCCACAACCACCACCACTAGTACCATTACTACCATCACTGCCAGCACTACCACCCCCACAACCACCACCACCAGTACCATTACTACCATCACTGCCAGCACTACCACCCCACAACCACCACCACCAGTACCATTACTACCATCACTGCCAGCACTACCACCCCCACAACCACCACCACCAGTACCATTACTACCATCACTGCCAGCACTACCACCCCCACAACCACCACCACCAGTACCATTACTACCAGCACTACCACCCCCACAACCACCACCACCAGTACCATTACTACCAGCACTGCCAGCACTACCACCCCCACAACCACCACACCCAGTACCATTACTACCATCACTGCCAGCACTACCACCCCCACAACCACCACCACCAGTACCATTACTACCATCACTGCCAGCACTACCACCCCCACAACCACCACCACCAGTACCATTACTACCAGCACTACCACCCCCACAACCACTACCAACAGTACCATTACTACCAGCACTGCCAGCACTACCACCCCCACAACCACCACCACCAGTACCATTACTACCATCACTGCCAGCACTACCACCCCCACAACCACCACCACCAGTACCATTACTACCATCACTGCCAGCACTACCACCCCCACAACCACCACCACCAGTACCATTACTACCAGCACTGCCAGCACTACCACCCCCACAACCACCACCACCAGTACCATTACTACCATCACTGCCAGCACTACCACCCCCACAACCACCACCACCAGTACCATTACTACCATCACTGCCAGCACTACCACCCCCACAACCACCACCACCAGTACCATTACTACCAGCACTACCACCCCCACAACCACCACCACCAGTACCATTACTACCAGCACTGCCAGCACTACCACCCCCACAACCACCACCACCAGTACCATTACTACCATCACTGCCAGCACTACCACCCCCACAACCACCACCACCAGTACCATTACTACCATCACTGCCAGCACTACCACCCCCACAACCACCACCACCAGTACCATTACTACCAGCACTACCACCCCCACAACCACTACCAACAGTACCATTACTACCAGCACTGCCAGCACTACCACCCCCACAACCACCACCACCAGTACCATTACTACCATCACTGCCAGCACTACCACCCCCACAACCACCACCACCAGTACCATTACTACCATCACTGCCAGCACTACCACCCCCACAACCACCACCACCAGTACCATTACTACCAGCACTGCCAGCACTACACCCCCACAACCACCACCACCAGTACCATTACTACCATCACTGCCAGCACTACCACCCCCACAACCACCACCACCAGTACCATTACTACCATCACTGCCAGCACTACCACCCCCACAACCACCACCACCACCACCAGTACCATTACTACCAGCACTGCCAACACCACCACCCCGACCACCACCAACTACCACTACCTGCACTATCACCCCCACCACCATCAACCGCAACTACCAGCACTACCACCCCCACCACTATCAACCACAATTACCAGCACTATCACCCCACCACCATCAACTACCACTACCAGCACTACCACCTCACCACCATCAACCACAACTACCAGCACTACCGCCCCCACCATCATCATCTACCACTACCAGCACTACCACAACCACCACCATCAGCCACAACTACCAGCACTATCACCCCCACCACCATCAACTACCACTACCAGCACTACCACCCCACCACCATCAACCACAACTACCAGCACTACCGCCCCACCATCATCATCTACCACTACCAGCACTACCACCCCCCACCACCATCAACCACAGCTACCAGCACTATCACCCCTACCACCATCAACTACCACTACCAGCACTACCACCCCACCACCATCAACCACAACTACCAGCACTACCACCCCCACCATCAGCATCTACCACTACCAGCACTACCACAACCACCACCATCAACCATCACTACCAGCACTACCACCCCCACCACCATAAACCACCACTACCAGCACTACCACCCCCACCACCATCAACCACAACTACCAGCACTACCACCCCCACCACCATCAACCACAACTACCACCCCACCACCATCAACCACAACTACCAGCCCTACTACTTCCACCACCATCATCTACCACTACCAGCACTACCACCCCCACCACCATCAACCACCATTACCAGCACTACCACCCCACCACCATCAACTACCACTATCAGCACTACCACCCCAACCACCATCAACAACCACTACCAGTACTACAACCCCCACCACCATCAACTACCACTATCAGCACTACCACAACCACCACCATCAACCACCAATACCAGCACTACCACTCCCACCACCATCAACTACCACTACCAGCACTACCACCCCCACCACCATCAACCACAACTACCAGCACTACCACCCCCACCACCATCAACCACAACTACCAGCACTACCACCCCCACCACCATCAACCACAACTACCAGCCCTACTACTTCCACCACCATCATCTACCACTACCAGCACTACCACCCCCCCACCACCATCAACCACCATTACCAGCACTACCACCCCCACCACCATCAACTACCACTATCAGCACTAACCACCCCAACCACCATCAACAACCACTACCAGTACTACAACCCCCACCACCATCAACTACCACTATCAGCACTACCACAACCACCACCATCAACCACCAATACCGAAACTACCACTCCCACCACCATCAACTACCACTACCAGCACTACCACCCCACCACTACCAACACTACCACCCCACCACCATCAACCACCACTACCAGCTACCAGCACTACCACCCCCACCACCATCACCACCACTACCACTACTACTACCACCCCCACGACCATCAACCACCACTACCAGCACTACCATCCCCACCACTACCAGCACTACCATCCCCACCACCACCAACTACTGATGCCAATAACAAAATCCCCCCAACAAACACAGAATACAACCTCGCTCATATTTGCTAATATACAGGCCTTAAGCCATCCACCAACAACAAATAACCTTTTATCATGGACTTCTAGAGGAGTCTAATGCAATGTTTGCAGCCTTCACAGAGACTCACACAAAAGATCACTTTGACAATGAAATATGGATAAGTGGTTACAAACTTTTTAGATGCGACAGAAAAAACAGGCAACAAGGGGGGGGGTTGGCCTGTATGTCAAAGAGTTCCTTATCTGCACGGAGTTGCTGAACACCACAAATGAGGTAGTTGAAGTTCTAATCAATAAAGATCGAGAACCAAAACCTAGTCATTGTGGTTGTATACAAGCCACCAGATTCAACCTCTCAACAGTTCAAGGAACAGCTACTGAAAATTGATTACTGTTTGGAAAACCTTCCAGCTCCATCCCCAAACATCTTACTGCTTGGTGATTTCAACCTAAGCATACAAAATGAAGAATGTAGCAAATAATGTTATAGCTGAAACAATCCCCGGAGGTAGCGCAGATGAAAGGTCACACACACATGAGCTACTAAGTCTCTGCGAAAAACACACCTTAAGCCAGCAGATAGTGGAGCCAACAAGACTAGAAAACACACTTGACCTCATCTTCACAAATAATGAGGACCTGATAAGAGACATAAGAATATCAAAAACAACTAATTCCGATCACAACCTAATCGAAGTCCAGACGTACATGCATAGGGTCCTGAACAGCAAATGCATGTACCTGTGAAGGTGTCTTCACAAAATACAACTTCAACAACAAGAACATCAACTGGACCAGTAAACCATGTCCTAAACGAAACATGTTGGGAAGATGTCTTAAATGACATGGATCCAAACCAGTGCCTTGAAAGGATCAACTTCCTGCAGCAGCCGAAGCATGTTCTAGGCATATTCCCCTAAGAAAGAAGAAGACAGGAGTAAACTGAGAGAGAAAGACGCTCCCTCTACAGAAGACGACGAAGATCACTGACCCTCAGAAGTGCTAGAATATCTGATACACGAAAGGAGGCGCTGACCAGGAAAGTGGAAACTATCGAACTTAAGCTAAATGACTCTTACAGGAACCAGAGAGGCAGGAGGAGCTTAAAGCTATTAGTGAAATTGAAAGAAATTCAAAATATTTCTTTTCATATGCCAAAAACAAGGCAAATTACCACATCAGTATCGGGCCCTTACTCAGACAGGATGGGACTTACACAGATGACAACAAGGAAATGAGTGAAATATTGAAATCCCAGTACGACTCTGTGTTTAGTGAACCACTAATCGGTCTGAGGATCGACGACCCAAATGATTTCTTCATGAATGAGCCTCAAAACTCCATAAATGTATGCCAGCTTTCCGACATTACCCTAACTCCGATAGATTTCGAAAAAGCCAGTGACAACATGCCTATGCACTCAGCCCCGGGCCCAGACTCGTGGAACTCTGTTTTCATTAAGAACTGCAAGAAACCCCTCTCGCCTGCCCTAAGTACACTATGGAGGAGGAGCTTGGACATGGGTGAAATTCCACAGTCACTTAAAACAACGGATATAGCCCCACTCCATAAAGGTGGCAGCAAAGCATTAGCTAAGAACTATAGACCAATAGCTCTGACGTCCCACATCATAAAAAAACTTTGAAAGCGTTCTAAGAAGCAGGATTGCAAATCACCTGGATTCCCAAAATCTGCACAATCCAGGGCAACATGGGTTCAGGGCAGGTCGCTCCTGCCTCTCACAACTACTGGATCACTATGACATGGCCTTGGATGCACTGGAAGAAAATCAGAATGCAGATGTAATATACACAGACTTTGCAAAAGCATTTGACAAATGCGATCATGGCGTAATAGCCCATAAAATACGTACTAAAGGAATAACTGGGAAAGTGGGGAGATGGATCTTCAACTTCCTAACAAATCGAACACAAAGAGTTGTGGTCAACAGAGTTAAATCGGATTCTGCCATAGTGAAGAGCTCTGTTCCACTAGGCACAGTACTCGCCCCATCTTATTCCTTGTGGCATGCAAAGAGTACGTAACCTTTATTCGGCGCATGGACACACCCTCATTTACAGGCTATCTCCCCCAAGAGAATCGTCTCTCGACCTGCGGGGAGAGAGGACGCTTCTACAGGTTCTCTTGCACGCCACCTGGTGAGGAAAACATAGCATTAGCACCAAGATGGCGGACCGACTGTACCGGCGCATAAATACTGTCTGCATTCAGCTGGTTAGAGGATCTTTAAGCAACGACACGATGAACGTTCTCCTGCCAAGCATTATCAGGGACTGTTTATGGCAATCCCCAATGAAGAGCTGTATGGTGGCACTGAACGGAATGTCAAGGGTCTTCGTGAAGTTCATGAGGGCTGACTTCTACTCTACCATCGTAGACGAATTTCAAGAAGACGGATGAGTATCAATTCGGCAGTGGAAGTATGCTTACATGATGTGTCTCAGTATTTTACTTGGGTGAAGGTAAGGAATGTACCTTTTGAGGCAACAGCATACAGCCTACAAGATGTGTTCAGTGGTTATGGAACTGTACACTCGACGAGCATGGGAATGTGGAGGACGGCCCTTATGAGGGGATGCCGGAAGGATCCTTCACACTGAAAATGACCCTGAGGAGGCCGATACCATCATATGTTACTTTGCATAACCATAGAACACAGGTTTTTGTACACTAATGCGGGCAGAGGAAGACGTGCCGTTTATGTGACTCTTATGAGCACATGGTGGCACAATGCCCCAGGAGACAGGGCCCTAGGCGTCAGGAGACAGCTTCTGTGGATACGCCATTAGAAGCCGCGGAACGTTATGACGGTGAATGGAAAGAACGGGGTACAGTCTATGGAGTGAGGAGGTCGACAGGGCAGAGGTGGTTTTGGAGACGTGTGTTACACTACCAGTGGAAACGGGGGGGAGGGAATATCGCTGTCAGACAGACCGTTAGGTACTGCAGAGTCAGCTCAGGACGGGATTTTGGAGGCTGTGCTGAAGGATTTTTTGGAAGAGTCGGAGCATGGTGTGGAAAGTGAGGTGAGGTCAGGTGATGACAAGGTGATGGATGAACAGAAGCAGGGTAAGGAAGACTTGAGTGAGGTTCGAAAGGAGAGTAATGTGGTGGTGGGGTCCATCAAGAAGATGTGGTTGCAGAAGAAATGTGTGTAGAGGTAGCTCCGCAAGAGATCAGCGGGGCATCAGACATGGACGAAGTCCTCACACCAGCGCAGAGGCCTGGGAAGATGTGGGCAGCTGTGGTAGCAAAGGCAAGTTCGGGAGGAGGGGGGGGGCAGTGGAAAGCTAGGCGGGAAGGGACAGGGAGGGGTTGGGGCAGGAACGAGGATTGATAGAGAAGGACCGAGACCTATGAAAGGAGGACCAAGTAAGCCTCAGCGGCACAGGGGTAAGCCGCCATTCTTGTAAAATTCAGGTGTGTAACTTTCAATGTAAACGGTCTTAAAACCGAGGTCAAGAGGGTATGGTTAGAGTGGGTTTTGAGGAGATTTAGTATTGATGTCTGTTTTTTGCAGGAACATAACCATAGGTTAGGATGTGAGCTGTTGTTGAAAGGTTATAGGTTGTTTACATGTGATGCTTTGAGGTTGAAAGGAGGTGTGGCTGTGGCGGTAAAGGAGACCAGTCCTTTGCGTATCCTGGGTTGGGAGGAGGGGGGGGAAAGGGTTGTCAGGGTGGATGGGTTTTGGGGGGCCAGGAGGGTTAGTTTTGTAGGTGTGTACATGCCAGCAACTAGTAACACTAGAGTGAAGGGGATTTTGTACGCGAGTTCTGGTATATCACTTGAGAGGTTTACCTGCTTTTACGGTGATTGGTGGGGATTGGAATTGTGTCATTAGGAATGGTGATGTGGTTCCGAGGGGGGCGGTTGTGTTTTGGGGGTTCTGCGGGATGTTTTGCGAGATGTTGGAGTGGTAGATGTGGTGGGAAGTAGGGGATATGGAGTGAGCACACTTTTATTCGTAGGGGATATGAGGCACGGTTAGATAGGATTTATGTTAGGAAGGCATAGGTGTGGAGAGGGTGAGGACTATCGATGTGGTTTTTCTGATCATCGTGCTGTTATAGCAGATTTGAGGGTAGATGGCATAGTGAGAGTTTTATGCAGATATTGGAAATTAAATGTGAGGCTACTTAGGGGCGAGGGTGACCCTACAGGGTTTGAAGATTGGTGGAAATCCTTTTGGGAGACTAGGAATATGGAAATGGATTTGCTGGATTGGTGGGAAATGAGGGCTAAAGTTGAAATCGCGAAATTTTTTAAAGTACGGGTAGAGATGGCGAGGTGGAGCTATGGACTACAAAATTATCTTGAGGACAGTTAAATGACTGTTATGCAGAGGAACGGGTGGGGCGGAGTGAGGACATGGAACGTTTGCGAAATAGGTTGGCGGAAATTCACAATGAAAAATTTGAGGCAATTCGAGTTAGGGCGGGGTTGGAGGATGTTTTAAGGGGGGATAGGCCATCGGGTTTTGTATTAAGGAGGTTTAAGGAACGGCAGGCGAAGACCACCTTGGCGTATATTGAGGCAGGTACAGGGGGGGGTGGCTTGAGGAGGTCAAGGCTATCCACCACGGAAAATATTAGTTTGTATGCAGATTTTTGTTTAGGGAGAAGTGGAGGAGGGTTGGCGGGGAGTGGGTGAGAGACGGTTTGGGATGAAGGTTTAATAGGGTATTAAGTGAGCAGGACAGTGACAGAATCGAGGGTAGTATTACCGTAGAGGAGTAGAGGAGGCAGTTTTTTGGATGTGCCAGGGTAAAACCCCAGGCATAGACGAATACCAAACGATTTTTATAGGTATCATTGGGGGAGTGTACGGCATTGTCTGGTGGGGTTTTGAGTTGTATGTTAAGTAGTGGGAGGATGGGGAAATCACAAAGAACGGTGTCACGGTTTTAGTG